TCCACATCATCCTAGTTTTGTGATTATTTTGAGATCCACTCTAGGATTCTATACTAGCACAAGCACACACTAGCATTCATTTGTGGGGTACATGTTTGTTGACTATTGATTTGGTTATATCCCAATTAAGTTAGTAGTGTATTAAAAGCTTTCATTTTGACAAAAGTGGATAACAATCCCTTTTCATTGAGTAGCCAAGATTCTAGCCTCATCAAGCACTGAATTTCTCCACCGAAAGGTAGAGGGCCCAAACTCTAGGTTAATAACTTGAAAAAAAAAAAATTGCAAAAGCAAATAAAAAAGTGAGGACCTCTCCCAAAAGGTGAGAAGTGGGAAATGATTAGATGAGGTTGTTTTAATTTGTAGCCTAGTTGATTTGAGCTTGTAAGTCCTTAGGGGTGTCTCAACAACTAATGCCCTAAAGCCATCCGGTTTGGGAGTCATTGACCTAACGCTTGACCTCATGGATCGCTAGAAAGCTTAATAAATCAACACATTGCACTATGCTTCCATCTTTGATCCTTAGGATTAGTAAAAAAAAAAAAAAAAATTCGAGTGAAAAGAATAAGCGCACCTAGTTGAATAAAGCTTTAATAAAAGGTCGACTCTTTGTCTTGATGATCGGTATTAGATTTATGTGCTAGTTTGAGGTTAAGGATGCGATTATTTCATTAGTTAGCTTAGATAGCAACATATTTGATGCCGGTTTACTTAAAAAGGATTCTAGAGTTGTTTTGGTTTGCATGATCATTATCTTGATGTGTGGAGGACCATACTTGCTTGCTTGATGTTGAGATTTTGGAAAATTACTTGGAAAGGGTTGAAAAATTGCATACTTTAGGCAGTTTTCTCCCAATACTTATTGTGTATATTAGTGCCTCTCTTGTGAGAAAGAGCTCAATGTTTGTGGGTATCATTTCTGGAAACGCTCGCGAGACTTCACTAGTCCACTAGGGGTAACTCAGGGGTTCAAAAGGCTTATTGCATATACTAAACGCAATCGTGTTCCCTACGAAAATGGCGCTATCATTTTATTGCTTTCTAGTTCATAGTTACTTAGTTGTTTATTTCTCTCTTCTTATTATAGTCCATTGTTAGGGACTAGCAAAATCTAAGTTTAGGGGTGCGATAAGTGCTCATATGAGACGCATTTTAGCACCTAAGCTAGGGTATTTTAGTCCATTCATCTATCTTACTTTCATGTCTTAAGTACTTATTTGTGTTATTGCCTATTTCAAGTTAATAAAGTTCAAACAGGCTAATAAGAGCCATTTAGCTTAATTTTGGAGCTAAGGAGCAAAGTTGGAAAGAAGCCAAGAAAATGCATCTGAGGAACTTCGATCGATCGAAGGGAAGTCCCAATCGATCGAAGAGGTCTACAATCGATCGAAATGAGGTGATGCCAGCTCAGCCAATTGGATAAAGCCTGGAAGATATTTTTGAGCCACATTAGCTTCGATCGATCAAAGCTAAGTGTTTGATCGATCGAACATCGTTGATCCTTCTGGTAGTGAGTTGTCTAATTTTCGAGCGATCTGATTTCTACCTAACTTGCATAGCTGCGAATTTCCTCCAATCAGAGGCTACATTTCTGCCTTAGTGAGCAAGTAAAGCCTTGTAATTGATTCATTGAACATAGTAGAGAAAAATATCATAGTTCTATCTTACAAAATATAAAAAAAAATAATAATTCTCTCTCTAGAATTAAGGTTCTTGAGGAAAGCAAGAAGGAAGATGATGAAGCCTACTCCCAAGCTAGCCCTTGAGGGCTCCATGACCACTTCAATGAGTGGCTAAATCATTCTCTTGGGGCTAGAGATAACCCCTAGGCTTGCTTCCTAAACCTAGCTTTTGTATATTTTTGGGGATTTTAGTTGTAATGAATGTTTTGACCATGGAAATATATTGATCTTGTAATTTCTACTTGATTTGTATAGATTAATACTTCCAATTACTCATTTAATTACATCGTTATGTCTATGTATGGATTATTGAATGTTCATCTATTTTTCCTCTAAATTTGTTAATATTGATGCATGTCTATGTGTATTGATGTTAGTAATCTAGTGATGGTAAAAAATAGTGCTTAATTGAATATTCTTGTGATTTATTTGATGGTTCACACTTGTTTCTTGATGGATTGTACCACACCTCTAGTTTAATTAGTTTAATTTTCATGTCTCTAGCCTAGTTGTAGTGTAATTGCTTTAATTTCTTAGATAGGTGGATAATTCATTCTTATTTCTTGATGTTCCATACTTATGAATACAAAGAGTACATGTCTCTAAATTATTGTGTGTGTTCTAATTGTGGTTAATTGAATGGTTATTGGTCTTATTTGATAGGCTGTGCTATTCACTAGATTGACCAGACAATCTATGCTTATTTACCATCCATGCTTCGTTTCAACTAGTGACACACACACACACACATTTTCTTTACAACTTAAATGTCCCCATTAATTTATAATTGCTAGTGTTTGGTGAATAAAGCTTAGTGGTGACCTCTAAACCCCAAGACCTTTGTCCTATATTTTTTCCCTATTTTCTAGATTGCTTCTTTTTACTTGCATTAGTTTTAATTGTATTATAGTTTAATTAACCAATCACCATCAATCTTGATCATTCTACCTACTAATCCGACATTAATTTCCAAGCACAAATACACATCCTTTTCCTTGGGACGATCCTTACTCACCCTTGCTATGTTTTTAGTGAAAAGTGGTAGTGGCATTCTAGAAATTTAGACTTGGCCACACTCTTTAGCTTGTTGTTGCAAGTACGGCAAAAAGCACATACCCACTGAATGGCTTTGCACTTGGCAAGGCAATGTCTTTCAAAGATTCGGTTGGATTAATAGGAAACTTAATCTCTTTATCCTTTTTGTCAACTTCCACATTGATCGATATATCATCATTCACTAAGGTCGCCTTAATGACTTAATGCTCAATATTACAAGGAATGTTCTCATAAATTGGATTGGCCATTGGTGGACTTGTCACTTCTTCCTTTTCTTGATAAGAAAGAGTACTTGCAATTGGAGGAAGAGGTTCTTTTGAGTTTTTCAATGGTGGAAGTCTAAGATGGCCACGGAGTTCATTAGAGAATTCACTTCATATATGGAGTTTTCAATGTCAAATGCGTTTATATTTAAGTGAGATAGGCATGCTTTAAGAGGATCTTCAGAAGGAATGGAAGGAACGGAAGGAATAGCTTCTTTAATAATTTCATCCACGAGGAAAAACTCGCCTTCATCGATGGGATGTTGGCTCGTGTTGAACGTATTAAGCTTAACCATCATATTGCCAAAAGAGATGTCCATAATGCCGGATCTACAATTGATGGTGGCATTAGCAGTGGCAAGGAATGGTCTTCCTAGGATGATGGGGATGTAAGTGGTGGGATTTGGTACTGGTTGGGTGTCAAGCACAACAAAATCAACCAAGAAGTAAAATTTGTCGACTTTTATGAGGCTGTCCTCAACAATTCCCCTTGGTTATTTTGTAGACCTATTGGCTAGTTAAATAACTACCGAAGTTGGCTTAAGGTCTCCCAAACCTAGTTGAAGATACATAAAGTAAGGAATGAGGTTAACACTTGCCCCTAAGTCAAGAAGAGCCCTATGGACCTCATGGTTCCCTATGGTACAAGAGAAGGTTGGAGCGCCGGGGTCTTTGAACTTAGGTCAGGTGCTAAGCTTAATGATGGAGCTCACTTGCTCCTTGAGAAGCACTTTCTTAGGGCTTTGTCCCTTGTTCTTCCTCTTTTGAGTATACAAGTCCTTCAAGAATAAGGTGGAATTTACTTAATTGAATCTAAAAGAGTAAGGTTGATTTTAACTTGTTTAAAAACTTTCATCATGTCATGGATTTTTCCTTCTTGGCTCGAGAATGAAGTAGATTTTAAAGCTTGAAGAAATGGAGCTTTTGGCTCATAAGGCTTCTCTACATGGGAGGAAGATAATGATGGAATTTGCTCCTTAATGTGACCATTTGTCCCTAGTGAAGTAGGAATGGAATTAGGAATGGTAAATGGGCTAACACTTGGTTGCACCAGAACACTAACTCCACTAGGTCTCTCAACTTTGTTATCAATTTTTCTCCCACTTCTCAAGGTGGAAATGGAGTATGCCTTTTGGTTAAGTTTGGGTTGAATAGGCCCTTTCCCTTTCATTGATTGAGTCATTTTCCCTGTTTTGGCTTCAAGCTTTGCAATTGATTGAGAATGTGAATGAAACACTTCATTTTCCTTTCGAAGATCACCCAAGCTTCCAATACTTTGTCCTCAAAAGTGGGATTTCAAGGATGCTCTTGAGGTGGATGAAAGTAAGATTGATGATTTGAGAATTGAGGATTGGAGTATTGATTCACATTTGGAGGAGGATAATATGGAGAGTGGTATGCTTAAGAGTCTGCATTACAGATGTGGGGAGGCACATACTTTTCTTGAGAATTTTTATGAAGAGGAGGAATGATACTTCCTCCTTGATTTCTCCAAGAAAAGTTAGGATCACTCCATATGGGATTGTAGGAGTTGAGATATGGATTACTTTCTGGATGAATGAGCGTGGCATTGACTTGGTCTTGATACTCACTTGGAAAACTTTGTCTAAGAGGACAATTGGAAGTATTGTGAGTATAACTAGAGCAAGTTATGCACATCACACTTTGAGAATGAAATGAGTTGGATGATTGATTTGCCGGGTTTTGGCTTAAAAGAAATTTATCAAACCTTTGAGTAAGAGTGTCAACCTTGGCGGCAATCTCCAGGGAACTCTCCACTTGAGAAAGACTGGAGGTTTTCTTCCCTAATCCATTCAAATTTTGGCCAAATCAGGACGATGAAGAACAATGCATTCAATTTTCACTAATGCGATAAAAAAGATGCCAAATATCATCTTCATTTTTGTCTAAATAGTCGCCTCCACATAAAGCATCAACCAAACCCTTTTGGGTATCAGATAAGCTTTCATAGAAGCAGTGAACTAATTGCCCCTTAGAAATGTTGTGATGTGGACACTTTCGTAGCAAATCATTCAAACGCTCCCATGCTTCATGCAAAGGTTCTCCCTTGCTTTGGGAAAATTAATAGATAGAAGCTCTCATAGCATAGCATCAGTTCTACTTGCAGCGTAAACTTTTTTTAGGAATTCATATTGTAGTTGAGCCCAAGATGTGATTGAATTTTTCCTCAAGTTGTTGAACCAATATTTAGCCTTTTCCCGAAGAGTGAAAGGGAAAAATTTTATTTTTAGGACTTGCTTCTTCTGGAAGATCCATGATGTTCATAGTTGAACAAACTTCTAAAAACTCAACCAAATGTTTATGTGGTTCTTTATTGCTTAACTCATAGAAAAGGGGGCACATTTGGATGGTTATGGGCTTGATTTCATAATGGTGTGCCCGAAAGTTTAGCAACCGGATGCATGTTGGTGCATTGTTTTCATTGGGAGTGTAGTGATCCCGAAGAGATAATTAAGGATTGAGAGGATACAATACATGATCTTGAGGATGGATTTGTATTATTAGAGGTTGTTGCATTTGATTAAGTTATGGAAACACATTAGGATGGGGAATGCTCAAGGTAGATGCACACCTTGAGGTAGATACCTATTAAGAGGGTGATACACACCTTGATTATCCATAGGCCTTAGATCTTAGAATTGGTTCTCCAGTAAGTGTGGGATAGTCAAGAATGGGAAGAATTCTCCTAGAACTACCACCTAACACTAAATGGATGATTCAAGATTGACTACAACAACTTGATAACAAACCATAACAATAATCAACAACAATTCACCACCTCCACACATGATGTTCCCATATTCCCATGTTATATCAATGCACAAAATTAAATTACCTCCACACGGGCCGATGCTTTCTATCAAGAAAGTAATAACCTCCTTTTGGGCTTATGCATAGATAAGAATTTAAACAACGTGATAGCCTTGACAAGGGCTATCTCGCAAGCATATAGAGAATTGAACAATTATAGTAAAAGAAATTCAATGAAGCTCATGAAGGTCCGTAGCAACAACATCACAATGGTGCCAAGATCTATTGCTTGCTCCTCTTTTTTTTTAAGTACCTAATTGAACAAGAGGGATTAGTAAGAAAAGAGTAATTTAAAGAAAACAATCAAATTAGCCCTAATGCCTAATTTAATTCCAACTAAACCGTCAATCCCCGGCAACGGCGCCAAAAGTATGATGAACCTTAAGGTGTGTGCACAAAATAATGCAACACTCTTTGATTTTAGAAAATAGTTAGTTCGAAGCGGACAACATAGTTTACATTTATAAACCACTAGACACTTATACTATGTAGTATGAAGTGAGAAAGGATGGTTCCTAAGGGATTGAACACGTGTTAGAATTTAACTTGACTTTAATGCTAATTAGATTGCAATGGTGAGAGATAGAGGGAGAGAAAGAGAAAAAGAGTTTGGTGAAGTGATTAAGCTAGAGTTCAATTGAAAGCATGGAAATGGAAATGATAATGCAAGTAAATTAAACTACATTAAACTAAGGATTAAAGAAATAAGAAGAGAGTCTTAGGGTTAGGATTCACTACTAAGCTCATGAAATTAACCATCTATTTTCAATTAATGGGGGAAACCATTAGTGTAATTATAGATGTGGCCACATTATCATCACAAATCACAATTGTAAGCATAAATTATCAACATCAAGAATGAGTTGTCTACTTAACGACAATTACACTAAAGTGTAAAACCCATTCAAAACTACGTCATAACCCACCATACACATTCACAAATGTATCCAATAAGAGCATACATCATTCAAGAGGATAATACTAATTGTAATTAGAAGCGTGGATTAACATAATCAAGCACAAATTGCCTACTTAACTACAATTAACTAATGACAAGTAAGCTAATTTGTAGAACAACTCATCTAGATTAAGCATTATTCATCAAATTAATTGACAATTATATCCAATAATTACTATGCCATGGCCATCACTAAACACAACTATAAGAAGTATCTAGTGTAGAGTATAATTCTTAATTAATCACACATAGATATGCAATTAACATATAGAATTAATGAAAAAATTATTCTTTTATCATCTAATGAAGAGTAAAATCCCTGACTAATTATACATAGACATACAATCAACTTAGAGATTTCAATTGAAGAATTTATCAATACAAGCCCTAATTTGTCAAATCAAACATGTGTGTGTATATATATATATATATAAATCACAAGGCCATACATTTAACTACAACAATATAATTCCCCAAGAATAGAATTACAAAGGTTTAGTTTACATGAACTTAGGGCTCATCCAAGCCCTAAGTAAAGAACTAGCTCATGGAGGAGATGATCATAGTGTCAACAAGGCCAATCCTTATCTTTTGGCTCCTTCTTCTTCTTCTTGGAATTTTGTAGAGAGAGAGTGTGTGTGTAGATGTTCTTGGTGTTCTTATGCCTCCATTTTTCTTCTTTCTTCTAACCCTAATTCTAGAGAGAGGATTCTCTCTAACCTACTAATAGAGAGCTAAATTAAAAACTAAAAGGGAACCCCTCAAAATGGTTCATTTCTACCTTTAATACCAAGATTTTGGAGGCCAATAGGTCAGAAAATGAGCCCAAAACAAGCCAAACCCGTAACCTAAAAATGATAAATGATTGCTGCAAGCGAGCATGGCGTTTGGATGTGGATTTTTGCATCCAGATGCAATGCATCATCGAACTTGCATCCGGACGCAAATTTTGGCGTATGGACACTATGCATTTTTCAGGTCATCTATGGCGGGAAAATGCATTTTTCGGACCCAAGTGCGCATTTAAACCCGTTAAGCTTAGGTATTCTAGGACCTTTATCTATCTTATTTTCCCGCTTTAGACTAATTTCATGTTAATTTCATTTTCAAGAACTTATCCCCAAAATAAGCCAATTCAGCAAAATAAAAGCATTAAAGAAGCAATCTTGAGTTGAATGGAAGAAAGGAGCAAAGTGGAAGCAGAATGAAGCATAGTGGTGGAGAAGCATCAAGTTCGATCTATCTTAACATTACTTTGATCAACCAGGAAGTGATCGATCTAGGCATTTGAAGATGGATCCAAGCTTTTGTCTTTATTCCAGAGATCTCACCATGTTCGATTGATCCAACATTTCTCAGATCGATCGAAAAGATTCGATCTTATCCTTTTGTACTACCTTATCTACCACTTTTGTCTCTTTCCCAAAATATCCCATAAATATCTCAAATTTGTCTTTATCCAAAAAGGCGCCGCCAAGGAAAGATCGATCCAGCTAAAGTTTGATAGATCTCAGCTATGTTCGATCGATCTAACCCTCTCAAGTGCAAATTAAATCAAAAGCTAGCTCATTAAAAGTTGCCTCATAGTGCAATCATTGGAAGAACCGTTGTGTACGAGTCCAGACCATTGGGTGTGACACTTAAGCTACCTATATAAGGATTTGAGCTAATTTTTACACATATCATATCTTAGATAGAAGAATACCACCATTCTATATCATATTCTTAGGGAGCAAGAAAAGAGAGGAGGCTAGAGACACATTCTTGGGAGTTCTTCCATCCACCTTAAGGAGAAGAGTATTTCTACCAAGGAGATAGCCCTTGAGGGTTGTAGGACTACATCAATGAGTGGCTAAACATCTCCTTGGGGCTAAAGTTAGCCCTAAACATGCCTTCTATATCTTGATTTATGTATTTTTGTGGGCATTTGTGTTGTAATACTTGTCTTGACACTTGCTTTATATATGAATCTTGTTTATTCAATGATTTGTGTGGTTTAATACTTCCAATTGAGCATTTCATTCTATCTATAAGTCTATGTATGCTACAATAGATATTCATGTGTTTATCTCTACCTTTTGTGTTGTTGATGCATGTCTATATGTGTTGATGCTATAGATTTGGAGATTGTCAAGACATAGTGCTTAATAGAATAATCTTATGGTTTATTTAATGGTTCATACTCATTTCTTGATGGATTGTGCCACTCCCTTAGTTTAATTAGTTTAATTTTCATGTCACTAGCTTAGTTATAGTGTAGTTGCCTTAGTTGTTAAATGGGAGGACAATTTATGCTTGTTGTTTGATGTTCCATACTTATGAATGTAAGTAGTACATGTCTCTAACCATGTGATGTGTTTGGATTGTGAGCTTAAAGGAAGGATTAATGGCTTAGTTTGATATATTGTGCTATTCATTGTGTTGTTTGGACAATATATACTTAATTGGTCATCCATGCTTGTTGAAACAACTACACACACTCACTATTGCTGCAACACATGTTTTCCCCTCACTGATTATGAATTGAGTGTATAGAAAGGTGATGTTTAGTGGTGACCTTTAAGTCCCAAGACCTCTCTCTCTTATTTTCTCTATCCTTTATTTACTTGTTTTACATTGCACTTGATTAGTTTAGTTTGTAGTTTAATCAACCAAACCAACCACATTTTGATCATTTGACCTACTAACCCTAAAGTGTTTCCAAGTTAATACGACCCCCAATCCCTTGGGACGATCCCTTCTCACTCATACTACATAGTATATGTGTTAAGCGGTTTATAAATTTTAAACATGGTGCCCACTTGACACTAATTCTAAACTCAAAGTGGTGTGCTTTATTTTGTGCATACACACTAGAAGCCACCAGATATTGTTAGTCCCTAGCAATAAAATAGGCACGAAACAAGTATACAAGACATAAGTATACTAAATGAAATCAAAATACAAGAAGCACGTATACGAAGCGGAAGTATACTAGATAGAATTTAAATACAAGAAACAAGTATACAAGCTCAAGTATACTAAATGAGGTCTAAATACACAAAGCAAGTATATAAATTCAAGTATACTAATTGAGTTTTAAATATATGAAACAAGTATACAATTTCAAGTATACTAAATATAATTTGAATACACGAAGCAAGCACCAAATAACAAGCTACAAGACAATGGAACATGAAGTTGCAAAGAACCAAATGCAAAGTCCATCCAAAGATAGCTTGGACTACAACGAGTAAGAAAATAACTCAAAGGAAGAAAGTAAGAATACCTCAAAACATAAATGATCATGGACAAAGCATGAAGAAAAGGGTAGATAGG